CGATTTTTTTAAGAACATGCCAATACATGACTTTTATCTATTACGTACACGTGAAACAACAACATATAATTAGTAGTGACTAAGAACCGATTTCTGTAAGAACATGCCAACGCACATAAATAATGACCCTGACTCTTAAATGGAACAATAACATTAGAAGGAATTGGTGCTGATGGAGCTTAAATAGAATCCTTAGATGGATCTATTTATAATATGATAATTTACTTAGGCAGCCAGACAAATTAGTTGTTAGTTTATCATTTTAATATCATTATACTTCATTAGCTAAATAAAATTAACTCATGTTTTTATACTTTTTTATACAAAAATATTGACCTTGATTGTTAAATGGAACCCTAAAAATCAGAAGGAACTGGTGCCGCTGGAACTTAAATAGAAGCCTAAAATGGATCTATTTATGATATGATAATTTATATGGCAGTTCGACAAATGAGTTGTTAGTTTATCATTTTATATCGATTATACTTGATTATCTAAATAATATCCACTAATATTTTTATAGTTTTTTTGTCTTGTTTATAAGAACATTAAATATGTATGTTTAAAATATTAAAACACCTAAATTGTTATATAACATATGTCATATTATCTAAAATATTTTATATTATTCTTAAAAATGTAAGTTCACCTAATTTTTTCTAATTTATTTTATATGTACTACATGTCTAAAAAAAGTTCAACACACACATACATACACAGCATATTTAACTTATATATACAATATGAGTGTGAAATTGAAGCTTGTAAAACAATGTTTGATTTAATATTATATATACAAACTGAATAATATACAAAAATGTTTCGAAGTTTTTTCAAAAGACATGGAAGTTAAAAAAAAAAAAAACATACAACGATATGAAAACTAAACAGAAAATAAATCATAGTTTGAAATTTCTTAATCTAGGTGTTCTAAGAAATTTTTACAATTTAATATATATATATATATATATGTAGTTATCATTTCAGTGATTAACCTATAATTGTATCTATTAATTTATATTTTACAAATCAAATAAAATTATAGATTAGGAAAAAGCGGAATAATTGATTATAAATTTTTTATTATCTAAATAATATTCACTAATATTTTTATAGTTTTTTATCTTTATTAAAAGAACATTAAATATGTATGTTTAAAATATTAAAAACACATAAATTGTTATATAACATATGTAAGATTATCTAAAATGTTCTATATTATTCTTAAAAAATGTGAGGTCACCTAAATTTTTCTAAATTATTTTATATGTAAACCACGTCTAAAAAAAAGTTTAAGACACACATATATACACAACATGTTTAACTTATAGATACAATATGAGTGCGAAATTGTAGCTTGTTGGACCTATTAATTGCATAGAGTGTATCAAATAATGGTGCCATTTTTTTCTATATTGCGAAAGTTATTTTTTCATTTTTTTTTTTTTATGTGAAGGAACTGGAGAAATTGATAAAATATGTTATCTATATATATAGGAATCAATTAATCTATATTAATTTATATTAACATAATTTTTGGGATTGTATTTTAATAAAAAAATATGGAAAGGGAATAAAAATCGAATGGTATAGGATTTTTCTTGCGTGAAACGAAAAAAGAATTAGTTGATCAATTTATTTTAATGAGAGTCCTACTTTAATGAATCTCACAAATGTATTATTATACTATTTAATTAGTTGATAATTGATTTAGCTGAATCTTTTTTTTAGCAGACTCCTTAATTAATGCAGGATATGGGGCATTGAAAAGAGGAGATTTATATGTAGCCACAAAAAGAGGAGATTTATTTAGATTTTGATTCCATATTGACTACCAATATAATAGTTTTTGATTGTATTCCTAAAAAAAAAAAAATGGGAAAAACAGATATGCTAATTAATAGCAAATTTGTTAATTTACTATTTTTAGGCAATAATTAATGAAATTGGCGGGAAATAGTTTCTAAATGTGAATTATGTTAATCCTTATTATATATTAATAATAGATTTCGTTGAGAATTTGTAATTGTTATATCATTATTTAACCGTCGGATAATTAATTTAACGGTTACGAACCCGACGATTTCCCTCTACATTATACAACTTGTACAAATTTTGCAGCAGTTCCCAAAAATGTACCACAAATAAATTTCGAAATTCTTTTGTACCCCGTGAAAAGCAAA